AAATTTACATTTATTCCAGTTTGAATTTCTCACTCAGAAAAATTCTGTATAGACAGTTTTCTTGCTGTTTCTGAAGTTTGAGCAATTTCATTTACCATATATAATAATTGGTTCTCTGAGTGTGTCAGAGAAAAGATTGTAAATGATCCATAAAATTAAAAGAAATTGTCTTTGGGCATGGTGGCACATGCCTTTAATCCCAGCACTCAGGAGGCAGAAGCAGGTGGATCTCTGAATTTTGAGGCCAGTCAGGGATATATAGTGAGACCTTGTTTTTAAAAGCATCGAACTTTGGGAAGACCATAAGCAGAAAAATGATTTTTCTCTATATCAGCAAAGTGAATCTCTAAGAATCCTGTTAATTTGCCTAGGGGGATGGTCAAAGAAGTGTCTAGGTGTATAAAGAAGTATCACACAAGTTGGATGGCAGTGAGTTTGAGGCCACCCTGGGCTGCATTGCAAGACCTTGTCTCCCCTTGTACTCCCCCTAAAAGTAAATAAAGAAAACAAATTATCATGAATTCCTCATTTAAGAGATAAAATGCCATCCTTGACTTGGTAGGGTGTTTTTATTGCTTTATTTTAAAGAATGGAAGGAAACTTTTGGGAATTTCCTGGGTTTCACCTAGCTTAGTATTTCCCTTAAAACTTCATTTTCCATTGTGAATTCTTTTAGAATTATGATGTCTGCAACTGGAAGGGACTATTTTAACCAAATTTGACATTGACAGTGGTGTCCCAGACATGTTTTGAGGGCTTTTGCTAAAGTAGTAGTGTTAGTACTTGTTCATCATATTTGATTCTTGATGTTCTGAACCATTCTGCTTGTTTGTCTAGGTTTTAGGCTTGGTTCCTGCTCTAATGCACAGACACTTCCCTGGACACTTCTGTGTCATTGTTGGCCCACCTTTTTCAACCACCCTTACTCGATCACACTCCTGAGAGTTTTCCTGAGTACATATTCTGACAATGCAATTTCATTTTGATTGTCAGAGGGAATTGGCAAGTCTAAGTCCAGAGGGGGTTACAAGCCCTAGCTATAGTCATTTCTGTTTGGGAGTAAAAATGTGTCTTTTTCTAAATCTGTTTGACTTTTTGTAATGACAAAACCAGAGTGGAATATAAGGTAAGGTGAAGGCTCTGTTCCATGTAGGCCAGAATATGTGTTAGAAAATGTGTATGGTGTCAGAAGGATGAGAATAACAGCCTCTAATGCTCTCCTGGTTTCATTGGGTTCCTAATGTAGAGCCCTTGAATGTTGGGGAGCTGTGAAAGTGTTCTGAGCCAGGGAGTGCCATGATCAAAGCAGTGGGCAGCAGAATTAATCTTCCACAGATAGCGGGAATGCCTCAGAAGTTGGCACCCGCTCCTGCTTGTGCAGGGTTCCTAGTCATTTGTTATGGGAGTGGCAGAAAAGAGCAAGGCCACTTGAGAGGCTATTTTCATGCCCCGGGGATCAGGAAGTATGAAGCTGAACGACAATAATAAGACTGGAGATTCATAAGAACTGGGGCAGATGCCTGAGAAGTCCTGCAGAGCAGTAGTTGACAAGATCTGTCACCCTGGACTCTGTGAGTGGGGAAGAAGGAAAAGGTGAGAGTGGTGTGTCAGGAGAAAGTTGGGCCCTCTCCACATGAAGCACAGACAGCCTGGTGGAGGCATTAGGTCTTATTCTGAGTTTGTGGATTTGGTGCTCTGTGAATGGTATTTGAAATCATGGGAATAGAGAGAAAACAGTAAGAGAAGGGTTGAGTGCACAAGACTAGGGCCTGACCCACTGAGTTGTAGTGGGTGAGAGGAGGCAGAGCAGCTAGCAGGAGAGTGGGAAGAGAGCTAGGATGCCCTTAAACAGGAAGGAGTGAACTTCAGAATCAAGGGAATAACTGATGACCTGTCAAGACTCCAATAGAAAAGCCAAGGAGGATAAAAGCCAAGAAAAGTAGTTGTTTTATAGGTTGAAAATTTTTAGAGTTGATGGGGATTTGGTTTTTGTATGGAAATTTGAGGGGTGTGAGGCTTAAGTACCTTAATGAATGAATCCCCTTTATTGCCCTCTTAATTAGCTTAATTCCATGTAATATTTAATTATGCTTAGAATGATAACATTTATCATTTCATAATTACATTTTTAAAAGAGGAAAAGAATTATAGCCAAAGGGGATTTTGCCAGGGAGAGGGTACTGACAACTGACTCAGCATGTACATGTGTTGTTTTTCATGGTTGAACAGTTTTTTGTTTATTAATCTAGCCATCATTTGTTTTAATTTGAAATAGTTTTAAATAACACAAACATGATTATTTCCTGTAAATGGATAGACTGTCTCCTTGCTGGCGTGTTGAAAACTATTCTGTCAATTTTGAGTTTATTTTTAAGGACTATGTATATGGAATTTAGCATATAAAAATGAGGCATATTGGGGCTGGGGAAGTGGCTGAATTGGTAATGTGACTTGCACAAATATGAGGTCCTAAGTTTGGATCCTCAGCACCTATGTAAAAGCTGGACGCACACCTGTAACTCCAGCACTGGGGTGAAGTGGAGACAGGCAGATCCTTGGAGCTCATTGGTCATTGATCTAGTTAAACCAATGAGGGCTCATTGAGACGCTGTCTCAAAAAATAAGGCAGAGAGCAATCAAGGAAGACACCCAGCAGTGACCTTTGACTTTCACGTACACACATCCAGGCCACATGAACACGTACATATACTACACACACACACACACACACACACACACACACACGACATAAACAATAAGATATCAAATAAATAAATAAGAAAATGTGCTATGGAAATTCTAAGAAGAGAGAAATTTTGTGTGTGTGTGTGTGTGTGTGTGTGTGTGTGTGTGTGTGTGTGTATAGGCTATTTGGGAGGAAAGAGCACAGCACACATGTGGAAAAGATCTGAGCCTAATGCTAATGTGTAGCTGCGTTGGCCTAGAATTTGTCAGTCCTGTTGCCAGGGTTAGGGTCTTATGGGGACCTTTGCAGTTTTTGTTTGGTTGAAGTATGCATGCACAAACATGATGTGAGGTGGTGTTAGGAGGTACTTGGGGGAAAGGAGAGGTGATGGAAAAGTAAGTTTGGAGTCAGAACTTAGGAAGGTAGCAGTATGAACTTTCTTTGAGAAGAGGAATAAGCTTTAGAAAATGACTTCTATTTCTGTTACTTAAAACTTTAACAAGCAGCATACAGAACTTACATTGTTAATAGAGAGAATTAAAAGCTAAAGAAGGATGCATCTAATAGCTCCATTTAATTTGGATTAGGAAGTCAGAAAGTAGAGACAGGGAAACTAATGAGGTTTATACAGTATTTTCAACATGGGCAAATACAATCTGATACCTGATCTTTTGAAACAGTAAATAATATTAGGGAATACATTATTTGGTTAAGTTCTCTCTTTTTTTTTTTTGAGACAGGGTCTCCCTGTAGCCCTAGCTGGCCTGGAACTCACTATATAGATGAGGCTGGCCTGGAGCTCACAGAGATCTGCCTGCCTCTGCTGGGACTAAAGGCGTGCGCCACCATGCCCGGCCAAGTTCTCTTTTTCTTAAGTCTTTGGCTAAAGTAGAAGAGGGAGAATTAAGGTCATTGGGTGTCTTGTAAAATCTGAAAGCAGGCTGTAGCTGGGCCTCGGAAAATTCTGGGCTCAGGAACCAAAAAGCTGTTGGTAAACCCCTTTCCTGCTTCATCTACTTTCTCAGGGCATTCACTTGATTATTATTTGTAAACTTCATCTCACTGGCCTAAGCCAAAGTTGTGAAATGACCTTCATCAGTTCCTGTGTTCCAGCCTTCTGGACTGAGGAGGGGAGGAAGGGAAGCGGGGAAGATAGTGAGAGGAGGGTGGAGATGGGGAAGACAAAGAGATAACTGATTGTTGCTTACGGTCTTAGATTCTCAAGGGTGGGAATTTGATTTTATTGTGCTCAAAATACTATTTTTACCATTTTGTAGCCAGTGCCCTCACTTATGGCCAAGCAAATGTAAATATACTGTAGAAATTTAGCTTGCATAAATCGGGGTTGTTTAAGAGAGGTCACTCATTGTAAGTTAGAAATTCCAAAGGATGTTTACCACCATTATGTTTATACTTTGGGGTTCTACCATTGTTCAATATAGTGTACAGAGTAATAAGAAAACTGTACAGAAATTTCCCACAGAATGTGTTTAAACTGAACCTTAAGAAAACCAGTTACCCTGTGGAAACGTGAGGATGCATACTAAGATGAGAGGGCTGGGGGCCTGAAAATGCTCTCTCTCTTGATCCTACGTAGTGGCTATGAAAACTTTTTTAAAGTCAAAAATCTTAATATGTAGCCCAGGCTGGCCTTGAATATTCAGCAGTCTTCCTGTTTCAGTCTCCTGAATTCAGGGATTACAGCTGTGTGTCATCACACCTGACTGTGAGGGTTTGTGCATGGGTGAACATCAAGATGTGTGTATTTGTGATATATGTAAGCAGCGTCTTAATTTATTACTTAATTTTTTTTTGAGACAGAACCTCAGTAGATAGGGTTTTGCTATGTAGCTGAGACTGACCTAGAACTCCTTATGTAACCCGGATTGGTCTTGAACTTGTGATCCTCCTACCTCAGCCTCCCAAGTGCTGGGATTATAGATTGCATCCAGCATGTATTTCAATTTAAAATGAGTCTGGAAAAAGGTGATCCTTTTGATGATAAAATTTATGTTTAGGTGATAGATAGATGTTCATGTGCAACATAACTTAAGGGTCTCAGAAATGAAAACCTGACCTTTTTTTTGAGGCAGGCTCTCCCTGTATCTCTAACTGGCCTGGAACTCGCTATGTAGACCAGGCTGGCCTTGAACTTGCTATGTAGACCAGGCTGGCCTTGATCTCACAGAGATCTTCCAGCTTCTGCCTCCTGAGTGCTGGGATTAAAGGAATGCACCATTGTCTGGTGAAAATGTGACATTTTTAATAAAGGTTATAAAAACTAATGCTGGGTTCACTTTTTTCCTTGGTTTAGGAGCTGTGACTGATGAGAATTAAAGGCCATGGATGAAGATGGACTTGAATTACAGCCACAAGCGCCGAACTCATTTTTTGATGCAACAGGTATAACTACTTGGATTGTTCTACTTTTTATCTACCAGATTGGGAGGTAGTTATGTAGACAAATTGCTAAACACTAACATTGATACTAGTCATGTTTAGATTTCAGAATCTATAAATGTGAAAGTGGCACATTATCCCCTTTCTCAAAAATTGGGCTTTTTCCCATCTGAGTCAAATATTTTTTTCAGTACAAGTTGAGTATCCCTATTCTGAAAATCCAAAATGCTCCAGAATCCAAAATTTATGAGTGCTGGTCTGACAGCACAAGCAGAAAGAAACCCCCACACCTCCATGTAATGGGCTGAAGTCAAAATACCAGCATACCAAAAAGGTTGTGTAAAATTAACTTTAGGCTGTGTGTATAAGGTGCACGTAAAAGAAATAAATTTTACGTTTATACTTGGGTATACCCAAGATACCTTATTATATGTATGCAAATATTCTAAAAGGTAGAAAAGTCTGATAGGCAAAATACCTTTGTTCTCAAGTATTTTGTTTGTTTTGAAACAGTGTCTCTGTAAACCAGGCTGCCCTTGAGCTCTCCATCCTCCTGCCTCAGCCTTCTAAGTTCTAGGATTATAGGTATGTGCCACTTTGCCAGCCTGGCTTGGTCCCAGGCATTTTAGATACGGGATATTCAGTTTATGGTAACAGTGATAGTCAAACCTCAGAGTCTTCTTCACTTACTCTCACCTTGCTGTTACCTCACTGAGCTTTTTCCTGTCCCTTTGAAAATGTTCCTGATTCCATCTTGCCCACTTCGTTCTACTTTTGTCACATAGGTTCTGTCATCTCATTTTTAGTTGGCAATAACATTCATTCCTTATCCTGAGCTTCCTTTAGCCAGCCCACCAATCGGATTGCTCACCACAACATGTGGACCATGTGATTCATTTGTTCTCCATTGCCCAGCAGATGAAGTATAAACCAAGGTTTTCTCCATTGAGACCTTGTCCTACTTTTACAACCTTCTCATAGGTTTCCCACAAGGATCCTTCTGCTTCAGGAAGACAGTCTTTACTCCCCAAAGTACACAAGAAAAAAAATTGTTTTTTTTCAAAAATAAGAAAAAATATTCACTCTTTTGGACATGGTTCTTATTAGATATCATTGTAGTAGTTATACTTGGCTTTAGAATGTAAAAGTGTCATATCACAGTAGCCTAACTATTCTTATAAATGTTAATGAATTTTTCTATTGGCCTTTAAATAATCAGATTGTAATCTATTAAATAACTATCAGAAAATTAAATACTAGTGACTTTTTAAATTTAATTTATAAGTATAGTAAGGGGAGGGTATATGTTTTTCAAGTTTGGTAATTTCAATTTGATAATGATAAATGCGTGGTTTGTAATTCTTTTTTCATTGGAACATGAAGTATAATTATTGTGTTTGGAAGAGAGACTAAACTCTTAGGAAAAAATACACAGTATATAGTTGCTTCGTCTTGCCACAAGGAAACCTGTTGCATTTAAGTCCTGAGTGTTAACACTTTAAGGTGTTGCCTTAAGTGTTAACATGTCATAATAATAATGAAACCTCTCATTCCAGTTTTTCAGAACACTTACCATATATTCCCATTTGATCATCACCACAGTCCTGTGAGGTATGCATGACAGATACTATGGACCTCATTTTCCTGATGAGGAAATGGAAACTCAGAGGTTAAATGACTTGGCCAAGGACACAAAACTATTAAGTGCATAACCTTAATCTTGGATATATATTTTGTAACCAGTGCTCTTGCCACTAAATGCTTCAGTCTTCTTGTCTGCCAGATGGAGATTGCCATTGTATGGCTTGAGGATAATGTTGAAACTATTGAAAACAAATGAGTATAAAGTATTTTGTAGAAATTCTGTACACATTTCAGGCTGGAGAGAGATCAGTGATTAAGAACACTCACTGGCTTCTTGCAGAGGGCTGGGGTTTGGGTCCTAACACCCACATGATGGCTAACAATTGTAGCTCCAGTTCTAGGGGATCTGACGCTCCCTCTTCTGCCTTTGCTGAGCATTGTACATACATGGTGCACTTAACATGCCCACAAAACAGTCATGCACATAAAATAAGAATAGATAAAAAAGAAATTTTATGCAAATTAAAGTGAACATATTTCTGTTATTTCTAGAAGTAATTATGGCATGTATTAACTGACTTTAAAGACTTACTATCATTTTTAGTATTCTTTGGCCCTTGGTTATTTTTGTTTGCTGACAAAGATACATGTTTCTTTGAGGGTTTGGCCAGAGACACAGTCATTGAATTAGATCTGTGCTTGGACTTAGCTTGGTCTTAGAAATAACCGGAAGCACTATTCTGCTGAAGAGCTTTTTTAGTAAGACGTCTATAAAACTTTTTTTTTTTTTACTGTTCTCTGGACTGGCAGCCAACATGCATACTAGATTAATTTTATTCTATTTTATGTTTTTAGTAAGGATGTATAATTTCTGTTCCATTTGTGGCATTCATTTGAGCAATATTTACTGAGAACCATATATTGTGCAAACTGTGATCTTGGTTAAGTCATTTAATCTCATTGGGCTACAATTGATTCATTCTTCTCCCTTTATTCCCTAACTATACAATGGACTCCAGTGTGTTTCCTGTGTTGTGAGAAGCTGCTTTTGGGGAGTGGGATCAGGGAGCAGGGAGGAGGCTAGATGGAGTCCAGTACTCTGGCAAAGTTGTGGGTAGGTTCATTCCAACTACCCTTACCCCTTCACTACACCTGGGCAGGGGCATCTTTGTTTTCTTTGTCCATGGAGATAGATAACCTTAATCAAATTGTCTTTCTTCCTAAACTGTGACCTTCTGTCTGTCCTTTCATTTATACCGTGATCCTTTTATGTCCTAGAATAGAAATTAGAAATTGGCTTGTAAATTTCCACACAGTCATAGATGGAGAATGTTGTTGGTACCAGAACAAAAGGAGAAGGATGTGGAAAAGGCAAAAAAATGGAAAGAGTGAAAGAAATTGATGAGAGAGATGGAAAGAAGAAAAAAATTCAAGTCCAGGAAGGGGAACTAGAGCAAGAAGGAGAATATATGAAAAACACATATAATGACGAGTTGACACATTTGCCACCTGGTTACCTTACTTTTTATAACTATGCCTTAAGTACCTGTGAATATGCATTTTAATTTTAGTGTGCATAAGATTTTACTGTCGTGCATATATTTCTTTGCCTCAGTCACATTTTCTCATAGTTTTTCTTTATCTGTTAATTGATTTTGAATGAGTACATAAAAGTTTGTGCTAAGTGCCTTTCTGATATGATTTAAAAGCAAATTCAAGTCAGGTATGCTTTAATCCCAGCAGAGGCAGGTGGATCTTTGTGAGCTCAATGCTAGCCTGGTTTACATAGTGAGTTCCAGGCCAGCCAGGGCTACTATAATAGTGAGACCCTGCCTTAAAAAAAAAATTTAAGCCGGGTGTGGTGGTGCATGCCTTTAATCCCAGCACTCGGGAGGCAGAGGCAGGTGGATCTCTGTGAGTTCAAGGCCAGCCTGATCTATGTAGCAAGGTCCAGGCCAGCTGGGGCTACAGGGAGACTCTATCTCAAAAAGCCAAAAAAAAAATTAAGGGATTCTGTCTTAATGTTTGAAAAAACTGGGAAGTTAGTCTGTTACCTGAGAGAAATTAAATGTTTTTTGCTCATTGAACTGTTCATATATTCCTGAAATTTGTCATTTTATTTACTTATTCATGTGTTTGTTTATTTTTAAGGAGCTGGTGCTACACACATGGATGGTGATCAGATTGTTGTGGAAGTACAAGAAACTGTTTTTGTGTCAGATGTTGTGGATTCAGACATAACCGTGCATAACTTTGTTCCTGATGATCCAGACTCAGTTGTAATCCAAGATGTTATTGAGGACGTTGTTATAGAAGATGTTCAGTGTCCAGATATCATGGAAGAAGCAGATGTGTCTGAAACAGTCATCATTCCTGAGCAAGTGCTGGACTCTGATGTAACCGAAGAAGTTTCTTTAACACATTGCACAGTACCAGATGATGTTCTAGCTTCTGATATTACTTCAGCCTCAATGTCTATGCCAGAACATGTCTTGACAAGTGAATCTATACACGTGTCTGATGTTGGACACGTTGAACATGTGGTTCATGATAGTGTAGTAGAAGCAGAAATCGTCACTGATCCTTTGACCACTGATGTGGTTTCAGAAGAAGTGTTGGTAGCAGACTGTGCCTCTGAAGCAGTCATAGATGCCAACGGGATCCCTGTGGGCCAGCAGGATGATGACAAAAACAACTGTGAGGACTACCTTATGATTTCCTGTAAGTCTTGGAGTACAGTGATCATCAGAGGTGCTTTTGAAGGCTGCTTTTCCTAACTTAGGTCAGGGTGAAATTTTCTTAACTAAATGTCTGCCTAATTTTATAGACATATGTAAAAGTAGATCTCATTTTAGTTTGGAGCTTCAGAATTAAGAAAAGTGAAGTGGTTGGTTTGTTTCTATATTAAAACCATGACAGAAAGATGTGATTTCTGTAGTCGAGAAAGACACAGTCTGTAAGCTATAGAACTGCACTTCCGTGTGAAATCATGAAGGATGTAGTTAGACTGTTGCCAGCCTTTATTACAATTAGGAACCCTCTTGAAACAACTTGGAAAAATGCATAACCAAACTGCTGTATTCTTGTATGCTTATAGGTACAGGAAAGAAACCATTGGACAGAGAAAAGCTGAAGTATGCACTTATGTTCTTGGATACACAGTAATACGTACTTTAATTATATGTAAAATGCTATTTATGCAACAGGGTGGGAAAGAACTCTGGCATAGTACTAAAGCATGATTTCAAGTATGGCAGGATATATTAGAGTACTGAAGCAAAATAAGGTGTTTGGGGGACATACCTCCACGTGTTTTAAGTTGGCATCTGGGAAAACAGCTGTGTTGTCCCTTTTTTTTGGAGGCACGGTCTGGTCTCATTGTGTAGACTAGGTTGACCTGGAACTCACAGAACTTACCTGCCTCTGCCTCCCTAGTGTTGGAATTAAAGTTGTGTGTCACCCCGCCTGGCTTACCTGTGCATTCTTATAACAAACTTCTTCGTACTATTTTCTGATACACAATTCTATCTAGGTTGGCTAGACCACAGTTCTGACCCAGTAATGAAAATTATGGAGCTAAACTTCAAGTAACTAAAAACTATAGGTTAGTTATGACTTTACAAAAGTATTTACTTGCATACTTATTTTTGTACATGAAATTAATATGCCATAAAATAAAGGTCCACCAACATATTAGCTAATACCTTTAGAAAGTTACTGAGATCCTATTCCTGTGATGATGGTGCATTCCTGTGATCCCAGCATTCAGGAAGCTGAGGAAGGAGGACTGTAACAAGTTTGAGCACAGCCTGGGCTACGTAGTAAGACACTGTCTCAACAAGTTGCTGAGCTTTTGAAAATAATTCTTTGTAAACAGGAAGAAAACACCTTCCTTCAGCATGTATTTATTGGACCCGTATGTGTTTGACATTGCTGTAGGTGGTTTAGATATTGATAAGTGCTAAATAAGTAAATAGAGAAAGTCATTGTCCCAGGGGTGGGAACTTTAGTCTACTGTAGGAGGGTGAGGTTGTAGTATGATGCAGAGGTGTGACTTAATTCTTGTGGAGACAGGAGTAGCCCACTTTTAGTTTTACAGGAAAGAGGAGGCGGAGGAAGGGTATGGGTGAGCGGAAGACACTCCTCAGACCGAGGAGATGGCTTAATCGATAAAGTGCTTGTCATTCAAGCATGGGATACAGTTTGGATCCCCAGAAACCACATAAAAACCAGGCCAGGCATTAGTGGGCACCTGTAATTTTAGTGTTTGGGAGGTGGAGATGGGACTCCTCAGGGCAAGCTTAGTAGCTAGACTAGCAGGAACCAGTGAACTCCAGCTTCATTTGAAACCCTGCCTCAGATAAAATGGAAAGTGATGGAAGGAAGACACCTGACCCCAAGTTGGGATGTGGTGGTTCAATGCTGTAATCCCAGTATTCAGGAGGATTGAGTCCTAGGTCCAACATGACCCTGCCTCACAAAACAAAAAATAAATCAGCAGAAGTGAATACCCTAAAGACCTTAATAGTAAAGGGGATTGGGGAGAATTGAACCCAAGAGATTAGAAAGTAAAGTAGGTGAGATTTGGCTTCAGATAACTTCTGTAGGACATTGATGGTGAAAGATATAAGGATGACCTTATGACGCTGAGATTTCTAAAATTTTGGGAGATTGGTTTGCCTACTCAATGGTAATCACCCAAAAAGAGTAGGTTTAATGGGGAAAAATTATTTAGGACCTGTTAGAAGTTTGAGTTGCTTGCTTGCTGGAGATAGTCTGATGGATGTTCTTTCTTGGCAGTTGAAAACATAAATGTGACTAGAGGAGAAATTGGTAAGGTGACAACAGAATATGGAAAGTATTTTATGTGAAGATCAATGGTGCCCAGAGAGCACTTGCAGAGTAAGAGTGTTAAGTATATGGTATGGCTGCTACTGGAATCGGTGTGGCGGTTCCTCCAAAACCAAAATAGAGTGGTTGGAGAGATGATGGCTCAGCGGTTAAGAGCACCCGGGTTTGATTCCCAGCACCCACATGGAGGCTACGAACCATCCTTAACTCCAGTTCCAGGGGACTCCAAAGCCCTCTTCTGACCTCCGCGTCATTGCATGACATGGGTGCACTCACATACGTGCAGGCAATACACTCATACACATAAAATAAAATTAAAAAAATTAAAAAACTAAAATAGAACTACCATGAGTCAGTATTGCCACTCCTGGGTATATGCCCAAAGATACTTGCACATCCATGTTTACTGCTGCAGTGTTTACAATAGGTAAGAAATAAAACCAGCCTAGATGTCCCTCAGCAAATGGAAGGATAAAGAAAGAAAATGTGGTAGATGTACAGAATGGAATCTTTTCAGTTGAAAGGAAAATGAAGTCACATCATTTGCAGGAAAATGGAAGAAGCTGGAGATCATTATGTTAAGAGAAATAAGTCAGACACAGAAATACTGCATGTTTTTTCTAATGATGACTCTAGATTTATGTTTATATATGTCTGTGCATGTGTGTATGTATGTGGGGGAGTCATAAAAGTAGAAATGGGACCATGAAAAAGGAGGAAGAGCTCTTAGGGGAGGGGGAAGGGGGGAGAAGTACTAGAATACGTGCGACATGAAAGCAGAAAGTGGGGGTTACTATTTGGGAGAGGAAGAACCAGCAATTGGGAGCATGAATTAAGAACAGGGTATAATGACACATGCATGAAAATGCAATAATGAAATCCATTACTTTGTGCTAATTAACAGAGTATCCAGTATAGATCTTTTGGGTATGTAAGAGGTAGGCACTAGAAGCCAGCCCAAGCTACGTCGGAAGACTTTATCTCACAAAGAGAGGAGGAAGGGAGAGAGTGGGGGTGGGGGCATGCACACCGAGCCTATGGAATCAGGAGGTTTGTGGAAGATGATGAGACAAACTTTGGGAGTGTCTTCAGCACTATTGAAGTTGCAAGAGGTCCTTAAGTGTCAGCGAGAGAAGAATGCAGACTTTTCTCATTGGGCAGTTAGATAAATGGCATCTAGATTAGATTAGGCTCAATAAAGTATGGGTGAGTGGATAGGAGATGGGAAGACATAAACTGGAATAGGTTGAGAAATTAGTGGAAGTGGGGTTAAGGTCAAGTATTTTATATAAAATGCCATTCCAGTGAGTGAAGGGACAGAAAACAAGAGTATGGCTTTTGCGGTTTGGCGAAAATGGTGAATGTATGTTGGGCATGCTTACGGGTACAGGAAACAAATCACTGGACAGGGCCAGCTTGAAGGACAGAGAAAAGAAAGTGAGCAGCAGGTAGAGCAAGTTTCAGAGAAGGAGAAGGGTTGGGGTTCAGGGTCACAGTGGATACCTGTTAGGTGTGTTCCTAGGCAGAGAGATAAAATGTTGGTAAGAATGAGGCCCCTTAAACTGGGCTTGGTGGTACATACCTTTAATCCCAGTATGTAGGAGGAAGAGGCATGTGTATCTCTGTGAGATGAAGGCCAGCCTGGTCTACATAGCAAATTTCAAGCCAGCTGGGAGACCCTGTCTCAGAAAAAAAAAATGAGGCCCCTATTAGGGATTGAATGTTAAAGGAGTCGTTGAATGTCTTTGCTGTTTTTCTTGTGAAGCAGATTCATCTGCCAGTACAGAGTAAATACAGTTCATCTACCAATAGAGAGCAAATACAGAGGGTGGGTGGAAAGCCAAAGGATAATAATAAAGGGTTATGAAAAGCTTTGGTCTGATGGGGATGGGTGAGGGCAAGAAGGTTAGATGTCTAAGAGAGATGCCAGAACTACATTGAGCTGCCAGCTGAGAGGGAAGAGGCTTAGGTTCGTAAGACACCCTAGTAAAGATGTTTTTATTTTATTATTTTTTGGGTTTTTTTGAGACAAATTCTCCTTCTAGTACCAGTTGGCCTGGAGCTCTCTATGTAGACCAGGTTGGCCTTGACCTCACAGAGATCTGTCTGCCTTTGCCTCCTGAGTTCTGAGGTTAAAGTATGTGCCACCACAGCTGGCTTTTCATTTTTTAACTTTAAAAAATATTTTAATTTTATGTGTATGAGTATTTTGCCTTCGTGTATGTATGTAAGTGCACCATATGTGTACAGTGCCCCTGGAGACCAGAAGAGGCAGTTTGATCCCCTGGAACTGGAGTTAATGGATGGTTGTGAGTGCTGGAAACCGAACCGAGGTCCTCTGCAAGAATAGCAGGTACTCTTAACTGCTGAGCCATCTCTCCAGACCTTATTATTTTAAACTTTTAAAATTAAATTTATTTATTTATTTATTTGTGTGTGTGTGCATGCATGCATACACTAGCACTGTATATACCATAGTGCATGTGTGGTCACAGGACAACCTGTAGGAGTGTTCTGTCTTTCGCCTGTGTTGGTCCCAGGGTGGGACTCAGGTTGTCAGGCTTGACAGCTGCCTTTTACTCACTGAGCCCTCTCCCAGCCCCAAATGCTGATTTAAAATACCACTGACAGATTTTCTGTAACAAGACTAGGCAACCCAGGGCCAAGGCTAGAGGAAATAGTTGACTTCATCCTAGTTTGGGAGGAGAGGAAGAAGTCTGGTGAAGCACTGAAAAGTAGGAAGCACTCTGACTTCTCCTTGGCTTCTCTCTGCTGTCTATGCTTTCTGCCTCTCTGGCTTTTGCCCTTTTGTCTTCCTAAATGTGTTTGCTAAGGAGTCAGAGGATAGGCTTTTTGGTTATATTACTCTT